TGCACCCTCTGCGCAGCTGCTTCCCCATTACTGGCTCTCCAGAATGACATTTTGCCTTTTTTTTTTTTTTTTTTTTAAACACCACATTAAAATAGAACATCCTTCAGCTCCATCTCCAGCAGCAGCGCTCAGAATCAAAGTTATAAAATATTAAAACGGCATTAATTGCAGACTCCACACAGGCTAACGGCAGACGAGGGAGAGAGAGGGAAAGAGCAGCGCGCACATCCTTCTTCCTCCCAGACTTCTGGCTTTTAACAAATGCTGCGGAGAGTAATAGGAAAGCAGACAGGTATGATTGAAGTGCGGTTTTCAGCTCTCCGTTGTTTATGGAAAGACGATGAGTACGCCGTAATGGGTGCAAATCAACCACAATGACTTACGGGGAAGGCGTTAAATCTTCTCCATTTCTGGGTACTGATTCTCAATGGGAAAAAAAATTGGATTTGCGTGAAGAGCATCTGGTTTTAAAGTTAGGGATTGGGGGGAGGGGAGTGATGTTAAAGCATATCTAAGAACAATAATGTAGTATATTGCAGCTTAGATACAGTCCTTAGATGTGCTGGCGCTGTATTCATTTCTATTTCAGATATTTTTTTTCTTATCTGGTGATCCTGCCAGTGGCACACTTCCTGTTCTAGGGTGACAGCGCTCACCATGATCCATCTATGAAGAAGCAGTGTTGTCACTCCAGGACAGGGCTATAGAACCTTTCCCCTTTCCTCTCCACCATAACCTCTAGGGTTTTGTAGTCCTCACAGATAACTGGAACAGTATAATTAATAATACTGCAGCACAGGCGGAGAAAACTGGAAGTTATCAGCTCATAGGACGTCTTGTCAGGATCAACCGTTTTTTTTTTGGGGGGGGGTTTGAGGGGGGGGGGGGGTTCTACTTATTAGAACAGGTATACAAAAAGTCTTTCAATGGTATAGTTCACAGAAAAAAAGGAAAAGTGATGGTGTCTTTGCAATGGACATCCCCATCCTCCTAATGCAGGGTATATTTCTATAGTTCTATTTTATTTCCTGTGGAAAATATTTCCTGTGGAAAATAGAACATATAATAGAACATATTCGTCCATCAACGTTTACAATTGTTGATTGAGGAATTCCCTGCTGTCCCCGGCCACTGTCAGAATACACAAACGGAGCTGATTGGCTGCTAGCTCTGCTCGGTCTGGTTCTATGATCAGCTGATCGAGGGATGCCGGACAGAAGGGTGCTGACAGCAGCCCCCGCTGTGCAGATTTTGTCCGGTTCATCAGGACCAGGACCAAATTTTCTGCGGGTATAGCCTGCTTAATGCTAACCTTACCTGTGCTTCTCCACAGCCAGCGAGGATACCCAGCACTTCCAGGTATAGAAAAGCATGTGTCCTGCTCCCTTGTGACATTTCCGATGAGTAGCGATTGGACTTGGAGCCCAGACACCATCACAAAGCGAGTAGTTCACCTGTTTATCTATATCTGGAATACCAGAGGATGTGGATGGGTGGATGCCCTTTGCAAAGAATCTGTCACTTTAACCTGCATGGGCACTGTCACATGACCGGTAGAGTGATAGCAGGTGAAGTGAATAAATGGGGGCCTTTCCCTTTTGCAGAGACCTCGTGGGCAAGGTGACTGCGTCTCTTTACGGCACAGAAAGTGTCCGATGTAACCCGCAGCCAACACATTGCACACCAGTGTCTGTGGTTCAGTGTCTGTGTTGCATGTGCTGATATAGGAAGCTCATTAACACGCTAATGTACTTACTATATGCATTTGTCTCTGTTTAGAGCCCTTCACCAGGATCTCGTACAGACACTTAGCACACACAATGTTTAAATTACAGCAACCAATTGTTCACAGCGCACATGCAAAGTTCACGCTGTAATTATGACATTTGCTGTAAAGCATCATTATTTGTACAGGGCTGACACCAGTGCAATGTCAAGGGCAGAAAGATTGAATGCCAGCTCTGAGCTATGTGTTTATTATATCTGAGATAAGCAATGTTAAAGCAGAACTCCAGCAAAACGGAAAAAGTCACAGTTGAAATAATGAGAAATGTTCTAAAAACATACAAGAACAGATTTTGAACTATGGAGAGTTCTGATTGCTTCTATGGGTCATTTAGGAGTTTTCTTCCCTTTTGGAGCAGATTGGATTGTGTTTTATAAGGATTTTAGGCTTCCTTCGGATCAACTATAGGTTATAGGAAAACAAAAGAGTAAAAAAAAAATAAACCTTGGAACCTGAATTGTGGAAGCCATGATCAAAAAGTCAAGCAGGGGCAAAGGACTAGTCAGCATATTGCATGTCGTCTTCTGCAGCTGATCTTTTCCTTATTACGGAGTTATCATGGCTTGTTTTGCACAGTGTCTCTGTGGGGAGCAGCCATCTTGGCAGGGGCAGATTTTCTTTCTCATGTCTGTTCCCCTGATGACTGATGGGGGAACAGTCAAGAAGCAGCAGGAGAGATGGAGGAAGGCACACGCAATGAATGAAGCAGAAGCAGGGAGAGTCTTGCACTGCAGGTCCTCAGGAACAGCTTCCTCTCCAGTAAAGAGAGACCGTGAGCAGCACAATTGACATCAAATCTCCTGAGACAGCAGTTAGAGGCAGCAGTGCCTTAGATCTCACATTGCAGATGTACAGCTATGAGGCTGAAGGAAGACACAGGAGGTGCACTGATATTTTTATTGAGGAATTTAAAGCAAGAGGTAACTTTTTCTGTGTACTGCTTAAGCACACTTAACATTTCTAGATGTTCCCTCATAGTTTACTTTTTAAAGGAGAATTATGAGGCGAGTGATTTTCACACAACCTCATAATCTGAGCCGACCTGTGACAATTAAACTGTCACAGGTCGGCTCAGTAGATCGGGAAGTGAGCAAACACATACCGTCGCTCGCTCACTTCTCGATCTATCCCTGCAGAGAGCCGTGACTGTCACTCACGCCTCTGTGCAGGGATTCTCCCTCCCCTGTCCGATCCTCCAGCACTTACTGGTGGAACGGACGGGGGAGGGCACAGCTGGCTCTGCCTCTCGATAGGCAGAGCCAGCTGTCAATCTCGCAGCAGGGTGGATCTCGTTCCGGCTGCGGCGTCTCAGTATACCGCGAGCTGTAGCTCGCGGTATTCTGAGCTTTGGGTGACGGGAGGACGCTAGTTTGTGTTCTCCCGTGACCCTTAGGAGAACTAAGGGGAAAATCCCTGACCCCATAGTTCTCTAAGTTCAGGTCTACTTTACAGTCCAGATGTCCAGGAGTTCTAAACACGTCAGTTGGCTGCCAAAGTACAAGTCTACACTTAGATTAAAGTTCTGGGTTTTGCAGCACATCTAGAAAAGCCATTAGCATTCTTATGACTGTGGATAGTGTGATCCCCACTGTAGCCAAGCCTGTGAGTAGTGTCACTGATTAAATTAGCAGTTTAACATTAGAACCTTAGCTGTTAATTGCCATGTATTTCTTAATAAGCTGCACAAATAGGGTAACTGGTGGCTTCCGTTACAGTTTCAATTTTATAACTTATTTATGAATGTATTGCACAGACACATGGAGAATATTAATGGGCCATGTTTAAGGGAGCATATATTCAGATGGTTACATAGAGCCTTGCCTAGGATAGATGAGTAAAGAAGGGCTACAAATGTTGGCATTTCCAGGAGAAAGGGCTGCTCCAGGCTCTCTTCAGTGCTGGCCATGTTTCTGAGGTCCTCCGCATTGATTATTTGATCTCTGCTGAAGGGGAGGGTCCGTGTTAGAGGCTTAGAGAAGATCACATGAGCAACTGATGTGGTAGACACGTACCAGTACGGCATTGAGCCCGGAGCTTCATTTTGAACTCTGATAAGTAGAGGTTTCAGAGATCTAAAGACCGAGTAGGAGATAGCCAGTCAGATTGGGGTAGGGAGTTCCAGAGAATAGGAGGTGAGCATGGGAGGAGGTGATGAGGGAGCTGGGGAGCATGAGGTCTGGCAGCAGTCATGGTAGACTGATCGCGATAGTTTGTGCAGAAGTTGGCCAACGAGTAGGCAGTTGAGAGATAAGAGGGTGAATTAGTATCTTGCTGGTGTCATTTTTGGAAATGTTATGGAGGTGAAGGCGGCAAGATTTGGACAGAGATTGGATGTGGGTCTGGCGAGGAGAGGTCAGGATTACACTTAGCACTAGGGATGCACCGATACCGGTTTTTCGGTATCGAGTACTGATATTTATGTTTTGGTACTCTCCGGTAACAATACCACTAGCATGGAGCTGGCTTCCCAGCCAACCAGTATGTAGCTTGCCAAACAGCATGGAGCCTGATTCCTGGCCAATCAGGAAGGCGGGAGTCAGCTCCATACTGTTTGGACGGCTAGATGCTGATTGGCTGGGAAGCCAGCTTCCCGGTCAAATATGGAGCTGTGTCGGCTTCCTGTTTGGCTCGGAAGCCCTCTCCATGTTCCCTCACGGCACTGCCGGCCAGAACAAATCTCTCGCTGACCAGAAGTTCCGGTATCGGGGAATGTATCGGAGCATCTGGGTGAGTACCCACTCACCCAAATACTCGGTATGGGCACACTAGTATCGGTATCGGTGCATCCCTGCTTAGCACCCTATCTTGAGGGGAGGGAAGGATAGAATTGGTTGTTTTATGTATAGCAATGGTTGCAACAGAATTGATCTACTGGCAAATATTGAAGAAATTGATTTTCCAACAGCATGAAAATTTATTTCCGACAGACAGCCATGAACAGGAAATGTTATTAATGTAAGCAATCGCATGGAGTGTGTGGCGGTGTCTCTGTGACACCTACATGAAATCTTCTACATCACTAATGCGTAAAACGATATGGCGACCGAAAAATTGTTTGAATTTTTAGACAGCAACCCTTTGCCCTTTTGGCTGCGGATACGTCTTTCCCCATTGCCTGCATCTTATTAGTTTAGCTGCATCTTCAGGCAAACATTTGTACAATGTAACAAGTCCTCTCTAATGTTAACATTAAATATTATTGATTTCTCCCCAGGAACAAACGTCAATGAGGCCAAGCGAATTCTTAATGAGAGCGGCTTGCCCATCACCTCCGCCAATGACTTGGACGATGCCGCCAAGAAGGCCGTGGCAAGCATAAGGAAGAAGTAAAGGCTTTGACGCGGGAGAATCACAAAATTAACACACACAAACCTCTAACACAGAATGTATCAGATTCACAGTGCAAGATGGGGGACTGTTCTATGGAAGTGCCGGGGACTTATCACATGATGGCATTTGGATAATGTGCATTTGGGGGAAAGTGAAGATTGTGATGATCGCTTTCGAAGAGCTGCTCAAATCATAATCCGTCACTGATTTTTCTATCATCAGATGTTTCCAATTACTGTAATTTTATTGTTGTGAAATGCCGGCTCATTGTAAAACTATTTTATATACTTCTGAGAATAGAATAGTCAGGTACTGAGCCTGGGGGGCTTATTTTTAAAAGTTTGTTGCCCTTCACTCTCTGACCTGCACAGATCATGTTCTCTATTTATCAGTCTGGGTAAAACTATGAAATGTTGGAACACACATGTGCCAAAATGGCTAATTCCTGAGCTACCTCTAACACCAAAAGTTGATTCCATGTTCTTGGCTAGCCCTGCCTGCTTTGCTCCATCACGCTTTCTTATCACCTCCTTCCTCCCTCCTAACAAACCACACCTTACTGTATTTGATTTTAAAAATCCCCTTAAATCCCAACTCCAGCTCCATTTTCTAAGTCATTTTGTATATGGACGGAGAGGATTAGAACCTTTCTGTGTCCCATTGGAGGAGATTTCCCCTCTTTCCTCTTCTGCCTTGTAAAATTGAAATCTGATTGGTTACCATTGAAGCACAGACATTTTCTTCTAGGTCTTCTCTGTACGTGAGGCCTGCTATCCTTTACACTATTGGGGCTCATGTACATGGGCTTTTGTTTGCTTCTGAGCTGTTTTGTTTGCTCATACAAGTCACGGGATAAACTAAAACTATTTGCAGCAGCTCAATGCAGCTGAAAAGCAAATCTAAGCACCTCAAGTCAAAGCATCCCGAAAGCACCTTATAGCACAGTGCAATTGACTTGATTCTGACTGTGACACCCATCTACCCAAGCCTTGAAGTGTGCCATCTGCCTGTCCGTGGTGCTGCCGTCCATACTGTGTGCTGATTGGGTATCATTGAGAGTGTGACCGGTCAGTTCACTAGACATTAAATCTTGAAGTATTTCTGTAGCCATTTTGTGTTGCTGGTGAAGTAATTCAAACACAAAATGGGACATTATTCACTCAATTTCTAATACTGTACTATTTGTATTTTGGCCTTGATTACTTTGGGTTTATCATGTATTCTTACAAATATCCATTTTTCTGTCCTGCATTTCAGATTGGTAATAAGGGGATTATGCTAAACTGTAATTGTCTAAAAATATGCCCTTAAATATGATGTAACTGAATGTATGAAGAATGGATTGTCATTTCCTGGCCGTCTCCATCTTTTAACAAATACTTGAAACAATAAATGATTTGATTCTGCTCTCCTGGATCTGTGTCAGTAGCTGGCGGCCTATTACAAATTCTGATTTATGGATCTCCAGTACAAAGAGAGAAGAGGGATGTACATACAGTATATACAAAGTATGTTATGGAGTGCTTAAATGCTGAAAAATTAAGTGAAATCCCAGACAAAACGTTTTTTTCTAGTTTTGACTAGCGTTGGAACCTCTGTCAGGTTCTCACTGTCGCTTTGTGTCCTCACCTTAAATCAGATACTTGCATAACTAGGACATAGTGAAACTCAGTTTAGCATCAGCCTACTCCAAGGCAGTTTTAAAAGCCATACAACAGTAATAAAGAAAAAATCCAGGACAGATCATGAGGGGACATCTAAAAGTTTAGAGGGCAGGAATTGTACCATGGGCAGCACCTGTTCCAACTGTAGAAAAAGTGAACTTCCCTCACTTTGGAATTTTTTCTCTCACTTCCTGTCTCAGTAGGAAGGAGAAATCTCCCCATGGGCAGCACAGACAGTAATATAAACCTGATAGAAGTGGCAACCCTTGCCTCTAGCAGGGCTTCATTTTTAAAGTTAAAGCCCCACCCCACCCCCTGGAAGCCCCCATCAGTACTTTTTTTTTGCATACCTACCTACATCTTTTTAAGATGTCTTCAGGTCAGTCACGTGACACACAGGGTCCTGTTCCTTTTCAGATCTTTCTCTGGGGCCAATCTCTGACGACTTCTTTTTCATTTTGGATGAACTATTTTTTTTTTCTGTGTCTATTTGGGATGGTTCCCTTCACGTTCTGTCTTGTGGACAAAGCCAGAAACGAGAAGTAATATTTACAAAATGAGGAAAATCCCATCTTAAACAATTGTCACCAGAACAAGTGTCTGCTTTAGAACATTCCCCTCTATTTCTGTTATGGTAAAAGCTCAACATTTTGGCTTTTTTTACTAGTTACATCCCTTGTGGCAATGATCACTAGGACAAATAGAGAGGGGGAATCTCCCCAGCTGGGGTAAAAATGGTTATCAAAACTTGTCATTGTTCTAACCCCTCACCGCTGTATCCAAAACTAAAGCTAGTTTTGTCTTTTCCGGCACTTTTGGTAAAGTTGAGGGCATTTGTTAATGTACAAACCTTTATATTATTTTTTTAAATATGGGACATGTGAACCTGTACACAGGTTTTGCACACTAAATGGGACTTTTCAGGTTCTACAATATATGATCATAACCACAAATCAGTAAGAAATATATGACTTTTATTCATACATAAAAACATTGATACATACACAACATATCCTAACAAAGATTTAATAAAATATGTGTATACATATCTAATAACACAAATAAGACTGATGACAGTAATAATGCCTATACAGTGTATAGGATCTACACATGATGTATTAAAACACCGACAGGTGCACACTTGGCGGTATTTTATTACACCATGTGTAGATCCTATACACTGTAGAGATATTGTTATTGTCATCTCTCTTAGATGTGCTTTTGGATATTATGGGGATGATTTATAAACCTATCGTTCAAAAATTGCACTTTTGGGCCGAAATAGAGGTGCATCCGTGATTTTCCTCTCCGCTGGGTGCTGCTCTGTGTCCTAGCAGGAACTAGAGAAACTGTCGAGTGGTGCAGGGGAGGAGAGCTATGCGAGTGGCTGGCATCTCTCCTCCCGCACCGCCCAGCCTCCTGTCACAGATCAGGAGAGCGTCGCTGTGGCCACAGACAGCCAGTGCTGTCACAGGAGGCTGAGCTCTCCTCCTGCACAGCTCCACCCAGCCTCATGTGACAGCTGTCTGGATGGAGAGCGGGTACAAGCTGTCAGTTGACTGACTTTTTTTTTTTTTATTTCAGTGCACCTCTTATTAAGAATATATTAATCATCTTAATAAGTGCTGCTGTGGTGCTTAGATCTATGTGCTTGGCCCAGGTATTTGAATCATTAAGAATATGTGAACTCTGTGTTTAGACCCCCAATATTTCCCTGAAGCCCCTAAAAGTAAAGTAAAAAAGTCTAAATATTTAAAAAAAATTAAAATATTTTACCTTTTGCAGCGGCCGGGATAGCGCGACTTTCGGGGCGACGTTCCAGCGACGGTAGCGTGACCTTCTCCGTCGGGCTCCATTAGAAAAAAGCAAAATCCGCCAAAAAAAGGGTCCTGTAGAAGCGACTTGCAACCGCGACATGGAGCTAAGACAGCTCCATTGGATATCATTAGCCTGGCGACTTCTCGCGATATCGCGGCGGAAATCGCTACCTGTGAATGGGGCCTGATAGTCTGGGCACAGAAGCACTTTAAAGTAAGTACTGCAATAATAAGACAGAATATGCAATCTCTGAATATAAACATTACTTTCCATTTAGGTCTCATCAAATCCCTAACGGCGGAGGGAATGGAAAAATCAACTCTCTTGTTCCCCTTCAAACACGTCCGGTGACATTTAAGCGCAGCGCGGTGGAACATTAAAACTTCCTGCAAAGCAGACAATAGTGAAGCGGCGCAGGTTTCTCTCCATCATTAACTGATAATTGTGCCCTGGCCTAATCTGCCATCCTAAAGTCCTGTATGGAGTATTTGTGTTTTTGTTTAGTTTTTACTGGAAAAGGTCACCGTTTTCTCTGCGCAGGAAAATAAAATGATCTGCACCTGAGCTGTCAATTGTTGCTTTTCTTAAGAAGATGTTTTGAGCTCCTGAATGCAGAGCTAGTCTGGCTGGGAATTGAAAGGCTTGCTTTGCTGAGGAGCAAGGTTATGTATGCCGTAGAAGTGTGGAAGCCAGAAAACTACTTTGTTTTTTTTTCCTGTGTGGGCAAAAATAGAAGGTTAGCAGGTAGATGACAGGATGATTAATTACCTGTACCGTACACTGGGAGAATGGGTTTAGGAAGATCAAGTGGCCAAGTTTGGTTACAAAGAAAGGCAATGCAGCGAGATCTGTGCTGTCAGTTCTAGAATCAAATGCTAGGCGACGTCTTCAAGTTGAAATCCAGACAAGCTATGTTTGCAGATGAAATAGATGTATGGGAACTGTAACCCCCCCTTCCTTTTAAGAACAATTGTAATTTTCTTTCACCTAGGTGATCCTGGCAGCTCTGCCTGACCATATAGCTAGTTTGGTGACCTTACTTTTCTGAACTGATTTTAAAAAGTACAGCTTGGTCACTGGCTCCCCCCTCAGCCTGTGTTTGGACAGTGAAGGAGCATTGTTGCACTCAAGAGGCTTTCTCTCTGGTCTTTCTTCTTACCAGTTATCAGTGATCGACTGACCACAATAAACAATGCAGCAGAACCGGAGTGGCTCATAGCGTTGGCCTTCCCTCTCTAAGGACAGGAAGGTATTATTACAGGTATTTATATAGCGCTGACAATTTAACACAGTGCTTTACATCAGGCTCTGCCCTTTACAGTCAGGGGCAATTTAGACAGGAGCCAATTAACCAACCAGCATGTCTTCGGAGTGTGGGAGGAACCCCATGCAAACTCTCGACGAAGATTTGAACCAGGGACTCTGGTGCTGCAAGTGCTAAAAAATAAGAATGTTTTTTCTATTATTTTTCTGATCTGCATATTTGTTCTAAGGTTTGTTTACAAACACCAGTCTGCAGATAGTACCATGTCTCTCTCAGTTCACTTGCTTTGCACAGAGAAACCAAGTACATTGTTAGAAATTAGGGATGCAACAATGCCGAGTATTTGGTTGAGTATTCATACTCGCCCAAAGGCTTCTGATGCCTATCCCAGCTTCCTGATACTTCCGGTATCAGGAAGCTGGGCAGCAAGTCATAACACGCTGCCCGGCTTCCTGATTGGATGGGAGGCCCGCTCCATGTTCCTTCGTCACCAAGGAGCATGGAGTTGGCTTCCTGGCCAATCAGGAAGCCAGGGATGG